TTCTTCTTTCTTCAGCCTTTAAGGGAGAGGTTGTTTAACCCGTTTTTAAAGTAAAAAACGTGATGTGGGTGTGCTAGGAGAATAAAGTTTCTTTTTCAATCTCCCATTCTTCTCCTTTCTCTTGATCAGGAACTTTTTAGGAAAACTGCTCAGAGAGAACCTCTTGGGTCATTGAATCCAATCTCCTGCAACCTGCAGGAAATGTTAAGTTTAAATGTGTATGAAACATCTCCTCTGCTTGACCCCAACTCTTCAAATTACGAACTCCCTTCCCAGCCCTCTGTTCAAACTGTATCTGTAGTGAGAGGCCCAAAGCAACCACTGTAGCGTGGCACTGGGACTGAGGACATTGGGTTGCCAGCTTTGTATAGTGCACTGCTGCTTGCTCTCTGCAGAATCAAACCTTTGGTCTTGGTTCAGAGATTTTGCAAAAGTGCATGTGAATACAGGATTTTGTGGAACTATGTGTTAGCTCAGTGCAATTTCTGCTTACAAAGTTGAATATTTTTACTATCCACTTACTTCTAAATCCTTTGAGGGTAAAGATGTTTAATTATGTCAGCAGTCAAACTTGAGACTGTGTCGCCTGTATTTGGCTGTAATACTTAGAAACTCAGGGGCACAATCAAATATGAATGCCAGGAAGACTAAGAATAATATAGCTTACTAGAAATTTTCTCAGCATTCAGTTGAAGGGTCCAGGTGCAGCCAGTTTGCCAGCTTAAAAAGAACCACAAATGTTTCAATCTCATGTCTCTCACTTTATTTTGTAGATAATACCTGTATATTATTGAAGAACAGGTGGAAAATGATAGCTAACTCAATAAAAAACAAAACCAAGTAGTTCTTTTGGTTCTTCTGGTCATTTTTTCTTGTACTACATCTTGCAGCCATTAATTTCCCTATTTGTATTAAGGTTAAACCACAAAGAGATAATCTTGAATCCTGGCCCTGTTTAATCCAGTACTTAGTCAAGTGAAGTTTCTCTGTCTATACAGTAGGATGAAATCAGAATTAAGTGCAAAATATTCATACAAATTTCTCTGCTGTGCATGGGATGAGGAACTAAAAAGCAGCTTGCAAAGCAAGCTACATCCAAAGACGGTAATTCCATATGATAAGTTTTTTTTACCAATGTCACATACAGCCAGTTAGAAACTACTTCAAAATCAGAGGCATCAAATTTCATACTATTTCATGTCAAAGATGCATGGCTGAAAAATTCCTATTAAAAACATGAAAACATGCCAAATGCAGAAAAACGAACAACTGAGCAAAAAGTGAGGCAAAGTGTTACTAATGTCTGCCAACTGGTATTATTCACAAGTACCATCAATCGCACATGAGCAACCTCCACTGCTGCTCCCCCAGAACAAGAAAACCCAGCTCACCCCTAACTTCTTGTAGTGTAGTTGTCCTGTTTGTGGCTAATGCTCTTCTCTATTGTTCAGAGATTTCCTCTAGTTCTGTGAATCTGTTTTAACCCTAGCCAGTCACATTGAAGCTGACACTAAAAGGGAAGAAAAAGCTATTCAATTAAAACATCTTTAGTGCTATTTAGAATGCAGATGAGCCCCTCAGCAATGAGGAAATTAGTATTTTATGGTGAAGCATTTATATAGTTTATTCTATATTTGAACCATAATAAATTACATCCATTTTTTTACAAGAATTATAACTGACATGCTGTCAGAGCTGTACATGTACAGCCCTAGAAATATACATAATACTTTGAAAGCTGTCACATTCGGTACAGTTGTAAACATCACCCTGGGTTACCAAACTGTTATCTTTAGGTTTACTTCTTCGGATAAACCATGGGATCTTTGCACATTTCAACCAGAGAAAAATCAATTCTCTCTCAAACAGTTGCACAGTAGTTTGCCAGCCGTGCTTAAGTGCACAGCCTCATACTAGCTGAATTCTAGTGTGTGTCTGTTTGCAAAATATCCACAGTCATGGACTTTTTAGTTTGGTCTGGGGAAACACTAGAGTAACTCATTGTCCTCCCTCATGCTGGCATTTTTCAACCCAAAAACGCCACTACGGTTCTAAATGAATAATTTTGCTGAAGAATATTTGGATGTACGTACTACATTGCAATGCTATTACTATGGTGTCACTTCTGTAGACTGATCCTTACAAAATGCTTCTACTGTGTAAAAAGTTTACAGCTTTTAATAAATCTGTTGAATTGTTTAAAAATGTTGTTGGAGAATGATAGCTTTGTTATGGGATCCTCTAGGAGGGTTCAAGTTCTACAGGAATACAATTATTCTTGATTACATTCTTTAGGATGCTGAAATTAAGTTACCTCAGATGTTTTTTTATTTTTATTTTTTTTTATATTTTTATTTTACTCCCTTGTATACATTCTTTCCTGTTTCAAGGTAGAAACCAAATGCAAAAAGAATAAGGGTTTCCTCCTGGATATTTAATATAAACTACCTTGGCCTTGAATGAAGAGGATTTTAAACAGAGCTGTGATTCAGCTGCAGAAAGTGTGGTTAAATTGTGCCACCTCTGCCTCCAGAAGAATTTGGCCAGGATCCTGCATTGAGTTATCTGCCCCAAAACAAACCCAAGGGCTTCACTGGGTCTCAGACTGCTGCAGGGGTCCGGCAAGACTTGCTGGGCTAGATGAAGCTAACTTTGGGGGGAAAAAATGCTTTAACAGCTATTTCCATTGGGGTTTTATGTCCTGAAGAGAGCCTGGGGCTTTGTGACTGGTGGCATAGTGTGTTGTTTCTGCCCATTAGGTAGCACAAGTGGGGGCAGGTGCTGATGGCTCTATCTAAAAGAGGTTTCTGGGTCTGGCTGAAGCCAAGCTTGAGGCCGCAGGGAGCCAGAAGTTCAAAAAAATGAAGTACAGGAAACAGGTC